TTTTCATTCCTTTTCTACCTCTATGTTCAAATCATGTTTTTCTCGGTCACGGTCGTGTTCCCTGGAGTTCGGGCGCTGTTTTCAGAGCGCCATGTGCGAGGAGAAGGCCTTGGTGCCTCTGAAGCTCTGGGAGAGCAATCACACTTTGTTCGCGAGGATGCCAAGAGGTTTGGCCAAGACGGTGAAGTCTCAAATGCATTCTGCGGGATTGGTCAGGATCCACCACTGAAGCTGTCGTCCTCAGCTCCATTGGATTTCTTGGTCTCGGAAATGCACGCTTTCTCGTGCTTTGTGGGCGGAAAGTCCTGGGGCACCAAACTTCATGAAACTTCATGGTGCCAATTTCTTGGTGTTGGGATGTTCTGAACAGGCGAGGTGGTTTAGACATGACGGCTTAACATCCTCCGGATGTGACAGAGTGTTCGGAGGAGACCTACGCTGCTTCGCTCATCCGCGGCGTTTGTGTTCCTTCACCGCGGCCCCCGAGGCCAACTTGAAGCAATTGTCCGACCCCTCTTGGAGCAACTGGGCTCGACACACAGCGGCCGTGCGCGGGCGCCTAAAAGGGCGCATGGTGGAGTCATTTTGTTTGGAATCATGGGCCAGTTCACCACGTCATTGCCCATAATTCTGGTTGAAAAAGAGTGTTTCGCTACCCTGAGGTTCCTTCCCTATGACCCACAGCAGATGGTCTTCTACGAGCTCTACAGCATGGGGGTAACCCGACGGAGCACAGGGTCGGCGACGAAAAACGTCTTTGAAGGTTTGAAGGCAACCAGGGTGATGTAGGCTCTTGATTCCCTGATTAATAACCTCCCCCATTTGAATGCGCGAACTTGCGGACCGTCTGTTGACGAGCGCGCCCACACGTTCCCTTCCCGGGTTGTCCAGGGGGTAACGGTGGGACTGGTACAAAGTGAGACTTCGCTACCTGATCAACAAAAAAGAGCTACCAAAGGCCTACGATGAAACGAAACTACGAAGGGCAAACCAGAGGAGATGCATAGGGAAGCGAAATGCCACATCGGTGCGTGCTTGCACCGCGTATCAGGCGTTATGAGCCACATATCCCTTGAAGCATATGAGGGTCCGCGCCCTATAAGCGGCAGTACAAATTATGAATTAACCACGAAGGCGAAGGTCAGGATGACCCAAAAAACTCAACTACGAACAGCGCTCAAAAGAGAGCGGACTTATTTTTTTGCCAAAGCAGCTCGGCCATGGCATGTGGATATTTGGATATTTGGGTTTGTGTGTGTCATCCTGGGTCCACATCCTCTAGTGAATTAACGAAGCTTTTGGTTCAGTTCTTCAGTTTACGCCGAGGCACAGGGGTGCCGGATGGTGTCAAAATCTTTCTTTCGAGCGGTGGCGTTTCTAACAAGAATCAGGAAGGAATCTCTCTTATCTGCCGGAAGTTCAGGCCAATCTGGCCAGGGTACGATGGGTTCATTGAGTGGCAGATTTGGCAATGCGACTTCGGTGTGGTATGGTGGGTCGTGGGGCATGGTTTGTAGCATTTGGTGAATAAAATCACAGGTACTGGCCGAGTTTGGCAGCTTGGGTCGTCGGGAAAGGCCACCCTCGTGGTAGGCAGTGAAACCGAGGCACGTGAGGCTGGAACAGCCTTGTTTCTTGTATTGCGGGATTATGAACAGCCTCTTCATATGGAGGGGTTATTAATCAATTATATAGTCTACATTATGTAATTTAATAGGGAGACACCACGCCAATGGCTTTTGGTTTACTTTGCGAACCTTCCAGGAAGGTCGAACTGGGAGGTCTCCCTATTTTAATACGCCCACATGCAGGACCCGGTTGAATTCTGAACTCCTATAGCGAGCCGTCGGACTTCACCTTAAGGAATAGATTGGGGTTTGGCCACAAATCATGAACTGCTTTTGACATCAGAGTTCTGGGCTCAAAGATGGCTGGAGGTTTGGTTCCAACCCATCTCTTTGATCCCTTTCTGGCCTCCAAAACCGTTTCAAGTGAACTCGCTTTCCACAGCAACCCTGCGTGCCAAGGTGCCCTCCCAGTCCCAAAACACCCGCAGAGCGGGGCTCACCCGTGTCGAGGTGCCCCTGCTCGTGCCCCATGAGAGCCTCTTACCTTTCTTGATTCGCTTGGGCTACACGAATCTTCAGGACCGGACACAGGGCTCCCAGCATTTGTCTTTCGTTGACCTTCGGGAATCCAGGCATGTCCTTTTTGCTTCACCCCACTAAAGAGTGGCATTCCAAGCAGATCGTCAGCCAGAAGAAACTTTTTACAGGGCCATCCACCAATCTGCGCGCACCAAATGCTCATGCTCGCCGACTGATTACTTTGTCTTCTCCCTTTGGCGAATCCCCTTGCTTGGGAGTCGAACAGTGCCTTTTTGGAATCTTGTGAACATTTTTTGTTGGTTCCTTTATCGAGCAAATAACAAATTATACCAGCGTAGACCCCAAACAGAGCAATGTTCAAAAATGAGATCTCCGAACAATATGGCCAGCAGTATTTCCTAGAGGAAGAAAACTGTAGTCCACCATGTAGACGCACATACAAGATTCAAAGGGAAAGCATTAACATTCTGTTTTTCATTGACCTTACAATGGGACGCCGTACAAGGGCTAAAACATGAAATTTATGGATCCAGGTTGTGACTCAGAGCATCCAGAGCTTACTGGGAGACAAGTGGGAGACAAGTGTGAAGTCATGCGGTCAGAGCACTCAGAGCATCCAGCACAAGTATAAAATCATGCGGCCAGAGCACTCAGAGCATCCAGAGCTTACTGGGAGACAACTGGGAGACACGTGTAAAATCATGCGGCCAGAGCACTCAGAGCATCCAGAGCTTACTGGGAGACAAGGGGGAGACAAGTGTGAAATCATGCGGCCAGAGCACTCAGAGCATCCAGGGAGACAAGTGGGAGACAAGTGTGAAATCATGCGGCCAGAGCACTCAGAGCATCCAGAGCTTACTGGGAGACAGGCGGGAGACA